CAAGAAAAAATGAAACTGGATAGAATGGATGACAAGATGAAATATGTATGTATTTTTGAATATGTCCATACATACACATATAAAGTCTGTAAGTACAGTATTGTATTGTTTGATAATATTATATTATTCAACTAATAAAGTATCTGAACTACAAGAGGAAAATTGTTCTCTCATTAAATGGAATCTTATTTAAAAATTGGAAATCTAATTAAGAGTTTAGAAAAACAATAATTGCAGGAAAGTCAGAATATTTGGTTACAATGACATTGAGTTTTGAGTTATCTTCATTTAACCGTAAAAATAGTGAGATTCCTAATCGTTTTTCAACCCTCTGAACCTATTATATATATCATGCAGTTTAAATAACTTATCCAAGTTTTTATGGTTAAAAATGTAGACAATCATATAGGTTATTTTATTAAGTGTACTTCAAGATAGACAAATTGTGAATATGATGAGTTGCTAATAGTTTGAAGGAATTCTATAACTCTATTTCTAAGTTAATATTGTTGTTTTATACTAAATTCAAAACTAATAATACTATCACTAAAACAGTAAACAGTAGATATTAGATGGTTACTGTGCTTTAAATATGAAGAATTTAGAGGAATATGAGAAAAGGTGATATAGTCCATCTGTTATAGTTGTTTGTGTTTTTTTTTAAAAAAAATCAATATATGTATATATAACCTCACACAGCCTTATTCAGTCTTATTTATAGAATAATACCTGTCGAGGGAAAAAAAATGCTCATAATTTGAATGAGTAAAAATATATCAGAGAATATTCACTTTTGTAATCAACAATTATTTTAAAGTAAACTGTTCTATAATTCTTGAATAGTAAGATAATGTATAGTGTTTATTATACTCATTGTTTCATCTCAATATTTCACATAAATTCTCACATATACATACATTAAGATTGTAATATTGTATGCAAATGAAATATGCTTAAGTAATTTAGACCATATCACAATCTTTTATACATATATAATTGTAAATATTAGTAGATAGGAATAGTAATTGTGTAAAAAATAGTAAATAATGGCAAATGGTTTTAGTAGACATGTGATGATGATTTTAATAATAATAATAATAAAACATGAGTAAAATTCACCCAAGGTAAAATTTAATTCATAATGTTAATTAAGCAGTGAAAACACTTCTTAATTACTGATTTAATTGAATACCTTTTTCATCTGAAAAATATATATATATAAATGTATGTTGTTAAAGAAAGAGTTAGAATGATGACAGTAGATCTATTTTCTTTTAGTTGGTTGTATAAAATACTTTTCTAAAAGTTCTGAGAAGAAATTCTGTAAAACTATTTTTCTTGATTGACTGTACTAGAGTTATTATTATTATTATTATCACCAATATTATTATCATCATCATTATCGTCTTTCAAATGAATTACTGATTTCGTAAGTATTTCTTCATTATTCTTTGAAACATTTGTTGATGAACGATTTATTGTTTGATATGAATGTGAAATATATGATTGATTGACATATCGTTTCGATTGATTACTCCATTCCATCATATCACATAGTTTACTTGAATAACCACCACGAAATGCTCTGATTGCACGAAGCTGTCACATTCCATCCAATGAACACACACACACATTCCCATAATGACGTTATATATGTTGTTTTTCCAACGTTCCCAAAGAATTAAAAGAATAATAAATACAATTAATGATAATTCAAATAATGATTCTTTCTTACTGATTGCATGCTTTGAATACATTATATGAGTAAAGCAATAAGTAAATAAATATATGTGTATATAGGAATATAGAATGAGTCTAAACATTTATATATATATATGCATACATGTACTTGCGCATCTTTACAGTACTCTGTTAAATTTAATATCATGCAAAATATTCTATACGAAATCTTTTATTTATGTATGTCGATATTCTTTCCCAGTCTTATCTTGAGCAAAAAATAGAAACCTAATTATTTTCATTCAATCATATCAACAATAAAAATAAATGAATTATTCAAAGGTCGAAAAAAAGATTAACTATTTTAACATTTTCTGAAACAAGGTGCTCATCAGTGAATGGACCAATCAATATTGTTATTATTATACATGCTAGGAGAATGTGTTGACGTGCAAAATGTGATTTAACAGTGATTGGGTAAAATGAAATAAGGAAAAAAACACACAACACTAACCAAATAATAGGAAGAAAAACTAGTCATAAACTATCCATATAGAAACTATAATATCATGCTTGTGTTTCATACTAAAAAATGGCATCTCTAGTTTCAATGGTTCAAATGACGGCTTAAAAATAAGCAAATAATGTAAATGATTATGAGGCAAGTTAAAAATTAGATATAGTTTTTTGTTGGGACAGTTAATTTATTTTCACTATTGAATTACAATGGAAATAAAATAATAAACCAGACAAATCCATACATATATATATAGGGAGAGAGAGCAGTTTACATACAAAGGATCTTCTCTCGTGACAAGACATACTATAGTACGGAGAATAATAAATATTAAGTAATTATCATATCACGTAAACCTAATAACAACAGTAACGGTCATTGTTGTTAGTGTATAGAAATGAAAACTTCCCTTATAAGTAAATTATAAATAGTAGAAAGGCTTTACAATGAATTTATATTTTAAGCGTAGTCAGTACAGAACAATGTTATGTAAACAAAAAATTAAACTAAAACAATGACTTGAAATTGTGTTGGTAACCAAATGATATTTAAAATTGTAGAATTTCAATTAATTGTTAATAACTGTTGACAAGTTGATTTCACTATTAAAATAATAATTAACTAAATAACTATCTATTAATACTCTATACTACTTAATAAAATTAAAAATATCAAAGAACATTGGGAAAAGCTATTTCATAAATCGTTAAAATAAATTATCTTTAATAATGGATGACATTCAACTTAAAGTTTTCTATTTTTATTCAATGTTTTTATTTTTATTTTTAATTATTGCTTCTTATAATCCATACATATTTTCTGTAGACAATTTTTGTCTACCTGTTAAAATGAATAACATTAATTTTCCATGCTAACATTTGATATTAAAACATGTGCTTACACTTTTTTAAAATTCAGATTATTTAACTAACTGTTATGAATTAAAATAGTTAAAAAAGATGGATTTTATTGTGAATATCAATACTATTTCATTAGTAAAGAACGATTGTAACAATTTCTAGGATATATATATATATATATATATACCTGAGGTTTGTGCTAATGATGTTATTCAGGAGAACAATGAAGGCTTCATAATTAAACCATCCAGATCAGTGAACAATACCTAAATCAACCACCCTAGCTATGGATCTCCACTATCCCATATATATATATATATAAAGAGCAGTTAACATACAAAAGCTATTCTATTGTGTACAAGACATACTGTAGTGTGAAAAATCAATATTTAGTGATTATCATATCACGTAAACCTAATAATGGTAAAGTAAAAAAGAAAGTTGTATCAAGAGTCTAACAGAATAACACAAGAAGTTGAAGAAAACTCTCATGAGTAATCACTGACTACTTTCTAATGGTTTTTTTCTACGGATGTTTATTTCTTAAATTTTTGTTTTTATCTCAAAATTAATAAATTTCATACCAAAATTGAAGTTCATTCACATATATCAACATGTGCACAACAACAACAACAAATATAGAAAAATAAAGTTTCATCTTTTGTTTTGAAAACATTAATTATTAACTTAAATCAAACTGAAAGTTAAATGTATAAAATTAATTAAATCTTTCAGCGTGTAAAATAATATCACAATGATAATAATGATAATGAGTTAAACACATGATAGTAATGATGATGGTGATAGTAATAATAATGATTACAACGTTAAAAAACGAATAAGCGGAGGAAAGTAAATTAGTAGTCACATTATATATAAAGATAACTTACCTTTCAGTGGAATAAAATGTAGTTGTTTTGTTTGAATATATATATATATATATATTACATAATTTAACGATGATGACGATAACAATATTGATAATGATAATAAAATTGATTTCAAGCATTCAATGAATACATTTCACAACCATGCATATAACAAAAAAAAAATAATAAATGAATTAAATTATCATAATTATATGTGCACATTTGTTTTTTCTTCTTTTCTATTGATTTTTGTTTGTTTAAAAATAAAAGAGGGAAAATTTGTGCTTTTCAATCTACTGTGTGAAATTGTTAATAAAAAAAAAAAACAAACTTGAAGAATGTGCTGAAAAAAATTATTATTTTTTATAAATTTTATTAAAGTATAGAAAATGAATAAATTGATGGAATAAGATGTTTTAGAGAGGGAATCATTAAGTTAATATTTCTTTGAATACAATAACATTATATTAGAATTAATTTAAATAAACCAAAGTAACTGACAGTAAGAATATAGAAGTAGTATATAATATAAAAAATGTTTTCTTTAAATATACGTTGGAAAACAAAGTGATTTCCAAAAAGGAAGTTGTTGTTGATGATAATGATGATGGTGATGATGATGATGATGATAATAATAATAAAAATCACTGTAATTGATGATTGAGCAAATTTTAAACTGCTAGGCAAATCTCTATTTCTTCTTATATGAAATGAATTAAATGTAAAGGGGAATGTTAAATAATTAGTAATTAATTATTTAAGATGAGATTCTATATATATGAAGTAAGAATCTCAGTTTTAACGTATAGAGTTTCATAGATATGAATGAAGATTTCACTGAGATTACAAATTGAACAATGTTTCTAGTAGACAATATCTTCAGATTTAATTTACAAATAATAGATAAATTCTTTTTTAATGTAGAGTAAGAAGTAATATGTTTATTCACTAATTTGTTGAGGAACAATGCATTATTATATAAACAATAAGAGATTATATATCATGTTCTTTTCAATAATATAGGTAGATGAAACTTAAGAATAAACCGTTGGACTGATGTATATCACAGGAAGTTTAAAGTAAATTAGAGCTGTCTGAGGTAGCTGTACTAAATGGTTGTTTAAATGGAGGTGGCGGAGCAGGTGGTTTACTTGATCTTCTTTGTTTATGCGGCCGATTTGAATGTTGATTTCTTCCAACTACAACGGTATTTGAATCTTGACTCTCAAATGTACATGCTGAAGGATTATTTTGTTGTTGAAAATTATTTCCCATATTATATGATGATTCTGGCACAGTACAGCTTATGTTTTCTTGCCCACTTGAATCATGTAACCAACTCGATTTAATCCATTCTTCAAGATCTGGATTTATCATATTGTCTGTAGTTTCCTTTGAAATTTCATAACCAGTTTCTTTAAACTGTTTATCATCATTATTCTTCTTGCGTTTCATTGTTGTTACTTCGGCAAGTGTACTTTCCTGATCATTATCTTGTCTTTGTTTACTGGTGTTAACATTGATATTATTACCATCATCGTTGATATCACAATGCTGATTGCTATCATGATACTTTTCTTCATCATTAGTTAGCTCTAAAATTAACAGTGGATTTCCTTCTGCAATTTTTTCTCCTAACTTATTTGATGTAACTGGGAAAGTAGGAGAAAAGTCTGTGGAATCTGTTAGTTGAAGTTGTTGTCGTCGCTGTTGGTGGTGGTGGTAACGATGGGATTGTTGATGTGAATTAATATTATTATTGTCATTATTATTCTTATATGGTTGCTGTGATTTTCTTCTTTTCTTTGATGTTGGTTGTAAGACATCTTTTGATGAACGATGATGATGCATTAACGCTGCTATATTCGCACGTTCATCTTCTGAATCCCGTTGATCTCGAAAAGCATGTACAACTTTCAACTATTTTTTTTATTTATTTGTAGATAAACATGAAGTACAATTACAAATTGTATTAGTGTATTTAAATAATTTTTAAGAAAGTGATATCAAATGAACAAAAGTAATAACATTTAGGTAGACAAAATTCAGACAGTAAAGAAAGAAGAAAATTATAAACGGAGAGGAAATAAAATCAAACAATATTATGTAGAAAATAAAAACCCGTATCGAACAAAATAAAAGAAAAACAATTTCAAACATGTGATCAAACATACATTTACGAAACATAAAAAACCATTCACACACACACAAACAAACATAATTTCAACACAAATTGACATTTACAACAATTAGGTAGGAAAAAAAAAAGAAAAAAAAGAAAGGAAATCGAGAGAGAAGAAAATAAAATAAACGTCATTCTTAATGGTCATATAATTTATACGAATCAAATCAACAAGAATAACATTTTTTAAAAATGTTAACAAGTTATTCATGAATAGCTTATAATAAAATTATTAAATAAATCGCTGTAAACTATTTCACTAATCTGTTTGATGAATGATCTGTAAATAAATGTTAATTTCAGTAATATATATTAATTAAACTTTAGTACAGTTGTTTGTTATCTTTCTGAAAGATTACCTAATGTGAAGTATCATGGAATATTTGATCATCAAAGTTTTTGCTTATCTATTCAACTGTTCATGGACATCAGGTTTATTAACATTAGTATTTAGCTAAAACAAGAGAAAAGTTCTTAAATGTTCAGGTAGGATGTGTAACATATTTTATACATCCTACTTTCCAAAAGTCTTTTTTTCCACTAAGCATTTGTGATGATATTTTTCTTCAAATGGATATATATATACTATTTGATGAAGATCAGGGCTTGAATTGTAAACTTGTTTAACTAATAACTAAACCTACATTTCTATCATTACTTTAAATTTAAATATTGCATCTCTTTGTAATTAACTATGATAACTACTAATTAAGTTTAATAAAATCAGAGAATGTGTTTATTATTTAAAGTGAACGTTACTAGATTCAAGTCATTATATGAGCATCAGCATTAGTATATAAATATATCCAATTGATGAGTTTCGAATAGGACGAAATAAGCGTACTGCGTTACACCATTATCCACCATTCAACTTTTTTCAGAGATTAAAATAAGGCTTATTGACTTTAACAAAATGAACATAGTTGTAATGAGTAAAACATTCGGTGAGTTATAAATTAAATAGTTTAAATATTAAAAAAATTCAAAGCATCAGAATGATACATATTATTCTCTCCTTTAATTTGTACTATTAGATTTTACACTGAGATAATGATTATCTGACTGAATGAAAACAAAATAAAAAATTCCCTGTCAAAGCAAATAATTTATATAATATATGTAACATATCATTCGACACATTAAGCACCTTGACCATTATCTTCAAGGTTTTAATAGTTGAGTTCATGAGTCAATGTAAGCTAGACCACCATTGAAATCCTGGAAGCACTGGAAGACCGTTTCGTCCTAGCATAGGAATCCTCAACAGTGTGCAACTACGATCCCACACAAGAGAACTCGACTCATGAGTTCAACTATTAAAATTATTACAATCTCCATAAACCTCTATTCCAATAACTTCAAGTCCAAAATTTAAATAATCATGGTTACACATAAAAAGTGAATTTTTTTACATATTTAGACTTTCGTTCTGTAGTGACGAATTTGGTTTATAATAATTGTTTACATAAATAAAAAATGTAATGATATTTGGTTCGTAATATATAAATCATTTACGATAGATGGAACGTGGCTAGCAGTAGAATCCAGTATGTGCATTTTATTCTATTTGAAACTTATGAACTGGATATTCACTCTGGGATCCAATCACAGTACTGTTCGCTTTAAACACTATCGCATTATTCGATTAGCTACTGAATCTGGATAGTCACTCATTTGCGCAACGGGTTTTTCACTTTAAGTCAATCAATATTTTAAATCAATTCAACATTTTCCAGTCTAGAAGTACACATTGTTGTACCATCTTGTTTTTCTTTACTTCAAGAAAACTCAAGTGATTTTTATGTATAACTAGTACGTATTCAAGGTTCATATAACAATGAAATAACTTGAGAGATATTCAATATATATACCCGTTATTCTTATCCTTAATCTGTTTTTATTCTTGTTATATAATTTGTCGTTAATCATTTCAAAATCCCATTTCCTATTGAGATTTCTTTTCTTATTCTATTTTGTAAATTATTACAACTTATATTAATGTAATTCACGGGAATTCTTTTTTATTAGTTTTTAGTTGTATTGATATCTTTTGTTAATGCAATTTCATTGAAATGGTATATTGGTAATTTGCAAACAACCTAACTCAATTTTAAAAAAAAACTAATGAAAACAAACTTGTTCTTATCGATAAGAAATATTCATTTGTCATGCATATATCATCAATATTCTTTCCTCTATAGAATAGTTTTAGGTTTGCTAAGATTGACTATATCTAGGTTAATGATTGAATAAAAACTGAAACGGCCGAAGAATAAAGAAAATTATAGAATGAAGTCATATGGATTTGTGTTGTAAACTATGAATCAACTGTTTGTTGGTCTTTCTTGTAAATAAGTAAGTAATCGATTTCAAAATATCCGTTATGAAATAACAGCTGAGTTCGTTTTTGTTTTTCTTTATGTTTTAAGAAAATTTCATAAATGTACTACTACCCAAGTGTTTCTGTAGGTGTATGTTTACAGCATTGTTGAATCATTTATGTGATTATTCGAAATAATCACTTGATTTGATTTAATTTAGAATTGAATATCAGTCATCAACATGTTATTTTTACAAACTGGAAAATTCACACTTTTCTTTCATAATGCTCAAAGGTAGTCTAATTACCATTAACATCAAGAACACTATATTTCAACCGTAATCATTTTTCTTGCTGAATCAGTCAGTTGAAACTAATTATGACGATAACTTATAGTTCAGCTGATTGATGATAGTAAAAATGTTTCTTTACAGGATATTCACTCAGTATTTAGGTATTAATAAAATAAGAGAATATTTCTTAAATCAATTATCAAGTTTATGATTGCGACATTTTTTTGTCATATGATAGAGGTCAACCGACAAGTCAATAAAAGCTGTAATATATTACGAACAACACATTACTTAGTGACTTAAAATAATATAACAATTAATCTTAACTAGAAAAAAACTCAGTTTGTATGGAAGGAGTTATGCTTGGAGTTCATCGAATATCAACAAAAGTTTCATGTGTATATTATTTTTAGCTAAAGGTAACTATTTTGTACAATTCAACCTCTGATGACCAGATCAAAGTTGCTTACCGGTTTTTAACACTGAATAAATAAAAACAATTCTGATGAGCTTAATCTAACTATTAGTTTTGATTAAAAATAATAAATGAATAATGTATAATGACAATTGGTTAATAATGAACTAACATAATTACATCATATAGCTATAAGCCTATTATAATTACAAATGACTTATTTATTATTTCTTTTTATATTTTATTTAGAATAATATTCCATTATCAGATAATTTAGGGAAATGAATATGATTATAGTTTATTAATCCTAATTCTATTATCATTTGTTACTGATCAAAGTTAATTGTTTTAATTGTATGAAAAACAATTGTATAAGTTGTTATACATGTTTCTCACATAGACTAAAAGATGAAAGTTGTTCACTTACAATGATGGTAAGGATGATGAAAGTAAACTGATTTTACACAACATCAACTACACAAAAATCAATGAATACATGAATTGTGAATAGTTTCCTATGAAAAAATTGAGCCATATGAGCAATAAAGATTTATCGAAATATGAATTAAATATATATGAATATATATATATGAATATATATATATATATATATATATATATATATATATATATATATATATATAGATAGATAGATGAGGCAACATAATATTAAAAAGAAAATTAAAATTTAGTTAGGAAGATGAAAAATAAACAGACTCAGTCATAGTGACATAGACAAAAGTCCATATTTTCAATGAAAAAAATATGAATAGGTAAATATTATCCTCAGAGGTGAATGAATGATATTTTGGATAATGGAAACTTTGTATAAATACAAACATATAACACCTTGATATTACTTCATTATATATAACCTTATGAGTATGGCGATACTTCTCATACTCAATGTGTAGGTTTTTAGAGTATTAATTATTCTTTAAAAGAACATATTAAAAAACTCTATAAACTCTGAATTAAGAGTAATTTATTTTTATTAAGTCCATTACATACCAACTTGAGCGAGTGATCAATTTACTTTAATAATATTTTATCTTTACATCGTTTCAAAAGACTATAATCAAACAATCAACAGAAATAAATGCTGGAAACAAAGGAATGATAATATTCTAATGTAAATGCAATTCATGGACTACGACATTGATTCAATGAATATATATATATATATATATATATATATATATATATATTCATTTGAAGAAAACCTTTCCCAAAGTGTTTTGCTTGAAGAATAAATCAGAAATTACTACCAAGATACGAATCAAATAATTAATGATTATATGCTATATCGTCTATTTTTCATTTTGAGATGATAAAAGTATTCATTCAGTCACATTCGATGCTGGACAGTAAGATTGAATAAAAGAGACGTATTGTAGCAGTAAAAATAATCATGTCAGTAACTATAAGAATAATATCAATAGTGTAGTAGTAGTTGGTAAATGTAATAATGATAGGAAAAAAAAGGAAAATCATTATAGTCTATCATTGGGCTGATAGTTATAATTGTAATTATAAATTATAATATTACACATAGTAGCAATAATTTTGTTTTGTTAAGATTAAACTAATCGGATACAAATTAAATGTAAATATGTTCCTTTTATCCATATGATTTAAAGATATATATATATATATATATGCATATTTTTATATGTTGAGATCAAAATTGGTGAGTGATTAGGAAAGTCA